GACAGAAAATGCATGGGGAAAGACAGGAAGTGCTGGGGAAAGACAGGAAGTGCATGGGGGACAGGAAGTGTGTTGAGGGGACAGGAAGTGCATGAGGAAAGACAGGAAGTGCTGTGGAAAGACAGGAAGTGCAAGGAGGGGATAGGTGTATGGGAAAATTATAGGATTATCTTGAAAGACGGGAAGTGCTCCAGAACTAGACACTTAGACAGGCATCCAGGGTAGAGTGGCCCCACAGGCTGGAGGGAAGACAGGGATTCTTGAGAGACTGGGGAGACCAGGAAGAGACCCTAACCTCTGACTCTATCGCCATCCTCCAGGAAAACCGGGAGGTGGGAGACTGGGCGCAAGAACATTGATGCACTGGGAGTGGAATGGAGGTCAAGAAAAAGTTTGAGGGCTGGAGCTCTTACCTACTGCCACTACCTCCCAGAGGCTCTGAAGAATAAAGCTTCTCTCTGAGCTGAAAGTGACTCCATGTCTATTACCCAGGGCTTAAGCAGGAGAGAGAGATGGGAAACTGAGGCAGGGCTCTCAAAGTCACACACAAGTCGGGACCAGATGGATCTCCCATGTGAGCACTCTTGGCTCTGTTATCCAAAAGAATTTGTAATTCAAGGAATTTGGAGAGGGGAGCTTTTGTTTAAGCACAGATCGGTGCAGCACACCAACATGGCACAAGTATACATATGTAACAAACCTGCATGTTCTGCACATGTACCCTAGAACTTAAAGTATAATAATAATAATAATAATAATAATAATAAGAAGAAGAAGAAGAAGAAGAAGAAGCAGATCACAACCTGCAAACTGGAAGCCTGGCTTCTTGCCAAAAACAAAAAGCAGGCACTTAAGGGAGGGAAGGGCAAAGCAGGAATTTATGCTGAGTGGGTTGGCTACGTGCACGTATTCAACTGGGTTATATAGAAGGAGCTATGAATATTCATGGACAGGTGGACACACACATGTGTGACAAGCAAACATGCATTTTTTTTTTTTGAAATGGAGTCTTGCTCTGTCACCCAGGCTGGAGTGCAGTGGCACAATCTCAGCTCACTGCAACTGCCGCCTCCTGGGTTCAAGCCATTCTCCTGCCTCAGCCTCTCCAGTAGCTGGGATTACAGGCATGCACCACCACGCCCAGCTAATTTTTGTATTTTTAGTAGAGACGGGGTTTCACCATGTTAGCCAGGCTGGTCTCGAACTACTGGACCTCGTGATTCACCCACCTCGGCCTCCCAAAGTGCTGGGATTACAGGCGTGAGCCACCGTGACTGGTCAAATATGCATTTTACATGGTGGTAGAGGCTTAATATTTAAGTGCATCCCATTGAATACATTCGTATGGAAACATGAAGCAGGGATATGAAGGCACTCAGTGCACAGCCTCTGTCAAAAGTCAGAAACAGTCTGTGGTCCGTGGTATCTTATCAGGAGAAAGTTACTGAAATCAGTCTCTCATTCAACTAATGCCAGAAGCTATGCCTTGTGGAACAGGGGGTTCAGTTAGTCAGCATCTGGCAATGGATGGCTGCAATTGTTGTAATATTGCATATCTTATACAGTGTTTGTTTAGCTGCTAGAAAGAAAGCCTTGTGGCACTAGAACATAGTTATATGCGTAGAGATGCGTGACTTAACCCTTGCCTGGCATGGCCTTAGGTCTTGTTTATAATTTGATATCTTATTGCCACAAACAGTTCATTCCATCAGTCTTCTGATCTCTATTGGTCACAGCACCTCCTTGGTCATGTGGAGTGCACAGAGATGCCAAGACTAAAGCTCAAAGAGAGACACACACAGAGAAACAGACAGGCAGAGAGACACACCAAGTAACAGAGGGACTGGAGTTGGGGAGTAGAGAGAGAAGGAGCCAGACAAAGACCTGCAAAGAGAGAGGGAGAAATACTACAGATGCATAGAAGGAGGTGCAAAGAAAGGAGAAAAGAGAGACAGAGGTATAATCACAGCAAGGCACAGAGATGGGAGACCCTATAAGAGAGAGGGAAATGGAGAACTACGAGGGAACCAAGGGCACTAAGACATGGAGAGAGCTAGAAAGACAGAGACGTGAACATGGACACAGAGACCCAGAGCCAAAAAGAGACAGAAATGGGGTCATAGGTGGACAGAAATGCACAGAGAAACTGTGAGCCTCCACAGACACAAATGCTGAGAGGAGCGGACATGCAGAGACACCCACAGAAATGCAGAGATAAAACCACCTGGAGACACATGCCAAGAAACACACTGAGGGACCCAGAAAGAGACAGATGCAGAGAGGTTTCCAAGACAGACTCCCAGCGAGGGCCCCAGGAAAAGCACAGAAACACAGAGACTGGGACTACGAGAGGCAGAGGTACTGAGGGTACTGGTGAGGCGGAGGGGAGGAGGCCTGCTCTCCAGGGCCGGCTTGAACCCAGAACTCAAGGTCATGGCTGGCTAGGAAGCGGAGGGGGAGAGACCAAAAAGATCAGGTTAGATGGAGGTGGGGAGGGAGGGAGGTTTCACCCTAATTGACACTTCTCCTTCTTCTCCTCCCCACACCTGCTTCCTGGCTTTAGTGTTTGTTGTCACCAGGATGGAATCCTGCGGTGTACAAAAGGGTGGGGGTGAGGTGAGACAAAAAAGATGGACAGAGACAGAGGGGGAGACTAAGAAGTGGAGACAGACACACAGAGATACACAGATGGAGAGCCACAGATATTACCAGAAACGGGGTCCAGAAAGAGACCACGGTAGAAAGAGCGAACAGAGAGAAGAAAACAGGAAACATTGTAGCCCATTTTGTCATTAGTAGGTCCTCCAAGGACCTAATGTGGCCGGGCGTGGGACGCGCACACAGGGAGCAGGAGGAGGTAGCGGCAGCACCATGGGACCTGGGGGTGGGGTGGGGGGTGCGGTGGGGCGGGAGCAGGGCTCATTGGGGTTAGCAACGGCGTTGGGGAGGGGCCCACGGAGGCTTTGGACTCTGAGTGTGGAGCCAGGGGCAGCGGGCTGCTCCTGAGCTCCCAGACTGTGTTTGAGCAAAGGAATCTCTCCCTCCCCTCCTCCCTTCGGGCGGGGCCGAGCCTCCCAGGGCCAGCTATAAACTCCCGAGAGCTCCAGTGCCCTCAGCAAGGCTCAGCCACAAGCTTCCCAGCATCTCAGACACAGCCTAGGTAAGGGGTTTCATGGGCCCTGTGGTTCCAAAGACTGTGTCCTTGCGGGAGGGGGCAGGAGGCGGGTGGGGAAGATGTGGGGTGTGGAGAAATGATGCAGAGGTAGGTGGGGCACACAACTGGAAGTCTGGGAACTTGAGAGGCCTAGACTTCAGGGACTCAGGATAGAGGGGAAAATACTGGGATTTGTGGGTTACACAGATCCGAACCCGGGGCTGCCAGGACTTGAGTGTCCCAGAACAAAACCTCCTAGGATCTTGGGGTTCTGGGAATCTGGGGGAAATCTCAGTAGCCAGGGATATCTGGACTTGAGGTCAAACAGTCTGGGTAGTTGTAGGATTTGGGGCCTTGGTGACTTGGAGGGTATCAGGAATTGGGGGTGGGTCTCACAATCTGGGGTTTTAGGAGTGGAGGCCTCGGAATCTGAGGTATTGCGATAGAAAGCATGAGAACTTGGACTGTCATTATCTGCATTGCGAATTGGGCCTCCGAGTTTGGGCATCAGATTTTAGAGTCTCATGTTCTTGAGGTTTCAGAATTTAAGTCTCAAGACCTGGGGGTGGTCTTAGGATGTCTCGGCCCATATCTGACTATCAAGAATAGCTGTGAGGACGCTGGTCTCAGAACATGGGGCATCGGGCAGATTGGGGTCTCTAATCTGTGGGTATTGGGATTTGGGGTTGTGCACCCTGTGGCCTAGGGAATCTCGGGAAGACTTGAGGTCCAAGAATACAGGGGTCCTGGTGAGGTCTGTGGACAGAAGGTGCCCTTTGGTGCTCCTGCCTCTGCATGATGTATGGGAAGGTGAAAGGCAAGACAGGTGGGGAGGAAGCGCCAGCCGAGGGGTGAGGGAGAGGGGATGAGGGTGACTAATTCTCCCAGAAGCCCCCCTTCCTCAAATCCCTTCTTAGGAAATGTCCTCTGTTTCACCATCTATGACATCCCCAATAGCTCCCGGGGTGGGGCAGCTGTCTTCAGGCCACCGTCCCTTCTCAAAACGCCTCCTCCTAATCCCAACTGATCAGGTTCCCTTGGACTTGTCATAAGACAAAAGGAGGACAGCCGTGCGGAGGTGGTCTCCAGCCTCCTGGCTGTGCCAGGACCACACCTTACCAAGGTCTGTCCTCACGCATGCCAGGACAGCCAGCCTCCTCAGACCCAGGAGCCTGTGACCTGAGCCCTCTCCCTCAGACGCAGGAGTCCAGGTCCCCAGCCCCCTCCCTCCCCTCAGACTCCAGGAGTCCTGACTCCAGTCCCTCCTCCCTCGTGAATCAGGAGTCCAGACCTGAGCCCTCCTTCCTCAGACCCAGGAGTCCAGACCTGAGCCCTCCTTCCTCAGACTCAGAGTCCAGACCTGAGCCCTCCTCAGACTCAGGAGTTCAGGCCTCAGCCCCTCCTCCTCAGACCCAGGAGGTCCAGGACCCCCAGCCCCTCCTCCTCAGACCGTGAGTCCAGACCCCCAGCCCCTCCTCCCTCAGGACCCAGGAGTTCAGGCCCCCAGCCCTCCTCCTCAGACTCCAGGAGTCCAGGCCTCCAGCTCCTCCTCCCCTCAGGACCCAGGAGTCCAGGCCCCCAGCCCCTCCTCCCTCAGATCCAGGAGTCCAGGCCCCCAGCCCCTCCTCCTCAGACCCAGGAGTCCAGGCCCCAGCTCCTCCTGCCTCAGACCCAGGAGTCCAGACCCACCCCTCTAACACCCCGGGCCCTATCCTCCCTCAGACCCAGGAGTCCAGCCCCAGCCCCTCCCCTCCCTCACACTCCAGGAGTCTAGGAAGCCGCCCTCCCTTGGGCCCCACCTCCCACTGGGCCTCTTCTTGTCTGTTCCTTAGGGCCGCACCAGGAGATGTCGGACACCGAGGAGCAGGAATATGAGGAGTGAGTGCCGCACTGGGAGGGGTTGGGGCGTGCAATGGTGGAGAGGCTCTCCCACCCCAGGTCTAACTCTCCCCTCCCTCTTTCCCCACACCCGTCCGCAGGGAGCAGCCAGAAGGTGAGTAGGAGTGGGCTGCCTGGGATGAGAGACACCCCCAGGAACTCTTTGGGACGGGAGGCGAGGCTCGTGGCACCCTGAAGGGGGAAGGGGCAGCCTAGCCTCTCGGGCCCTCGCCCGCCCTCTCCTGGGTCTGGGAGCTGTCTCCCGTGCCATCCCTGCACTCCGCCAGGGGGCACATGCCCATCGTGCCGAGGCCAGAGGGACCCTGGTCCCAGAGGCTGGAACCCTGGTCTCTGGTCACCTCCACCCTGCCCGAGCTCCTAACGCCTTCTCTTCTGTGCCCCCATCTCCAGAGGAGGCTGCGGAGGAGGAGGAAGGTGAGGTCCCGACTGCGCAGGTCTGGAGCTGGGGCGGGGTTGGGCTGGGGGCTGGGGCTGGGGGCGGGACGGGGCTCCCGAAGGCCTCGGCTCCAGGTCCTCTAACAGCCTCTCCCGTCTCTCCCTCCTGCCGCGCCCGGGCGTGGCCGCTCTCCCTCGCCCCCACACCCCTCGCTGCTCCTCCCGCCCCTCCCCCAGCCCCCGAAGAGCCGGAGCTGGTGGCAGAGTCAGGTAACCGCGGCTGCTTCGCTTCCCGAGACCGATGTCGGGGGCCCGGGGGGACCCCCGATATCCTCGGGCCCCAACCTCCACGACCACCCCTTCCCCTCCCTCCGCCCCCATAACCTGCCCCAGGCCCGGTCCTTTGCCTCTGAGAGCTCCTGCGCCCTCTTTCGGGGCTGGGAAGGAAATGGCTCTGCCGTGGCTTTTAACCCCTTTCCCTTCCTTCTCTTAAAGGACCGACACCTGCTTCCTCTCTTCCCAGTCTGAGGAATCTTTATAGAAGGGTTGGATGTTTGCGGAGAAGCACCACCCTGTCACTCCTCTATCTTCTGCCTCCAACCTTGTCTGTTATTTTTCCCCATATACATTCAGTTGCTGGGGCTTGGAATTTAGGATTGCAGAGGAGGTTAGGGCCCTGGGAGTCAGGGTCTCCAAGGTGGGTTGAGGCCAGCTGGGGAGAGAGCCTGGGGTTACTGAATAAAGACAGAGGTTGGCCTCCCGCACTGCTGGGTCTTAGTGAGGAGGGCAGTTGCTCTTGGGTATATAAATAGAGAAGGGTCTGGGGTTTCCACCCTGGGAGTGCAGATAGCGTAGGGGGCGGGGGGTCCCTACACCAGTTCTGGAATGCTATCTGATGCGTGACCCCTCTTCCTCCTTTATAGCCACCCGACTTTCCTTCCCTCTTTCTCTTCCCCATCCCTCCTCTGCAGAACTGGGTGATTCGGGTCCTTCCCTGGGCCTCGGGGGCCGAGGCTTGGGGGGGTCCCTCCCCAGGGTGTATCAGGCCTAGTCCCTCCTCTAAACTCTTGCTAATTATCTCTTTGTATCCCCCCACCACCAACAGAAGAGGAGCGCCTAAACCAAGGTGAGATCCCTACAGGGTGGGGGGCCCCAACCATACATCTTCCTAAGTATTCTCTCTATCCCCAGAGACAGGGTGTGAGAGTGGCAGAGATGGAGGGAGGAAATTGAAACAGCAGTCAACATTTCTCCCCCTCCTCCCTCCCCCTTCCTCCCCTTCCCTCCCTCCTCCCTCCACCTCCCTCTCCCTCCTTCCTCCTCCCTCCTCTCTTCATCTTTTTCCCTTTCCCTTCCCCTTCGTCTTCCCTTCATCATCGTCATAGTCCCTGTACCTATTACCCAGATTGGAGTGCAGTGACCCAATCCTGGCTCACTGCCTGGACATTTGGGTCTACAATCCTCCCATCTCAGCCTCCCGTAGCTGGGACCACATGTGCATGTGCCACCACACACCTGGCTATTTTTTTTTTTTTTTCCTTTGTGGTAGAGCTGAGGTCTTGCTATGTTGCTCAGTTTGTCCTGAACTCCTATCCTCAAGCAATTCTCCCACCTCAGCCCCCCAGAGTGCTGGGATTACAGGCACAAGCCTCCAAGGCCAGCCAGTCTGTTTCCTTCTTTCCACCACTTGTCCCTCTTCCCTCCAGCCTTTACCATCACCCCAGCCTCCTCTCTGGCCTCCCTGCCTCCAGCTTGTGGCTCATCCTCCTCCATGACCCAGAGAGACCTTTCTAACACCAGAGCTAACCTCGCCTCCTCTGCTCAGAATCTTTCCCTCAACTCCCACTACTGTTAAGACAAGTCAAAAGCAAACCAGCCTGCATTCAAAGCCTTCCCCATCTGGCTCCAGCCGACCTCTCTAGCATCTCCCTTCCCCACTGACAGACACACAGCATTTCATGGGATTCCAAGGCAAAGGGACAGGATTTGAGATTGTTGGGCAAGGGAGGGAAGCAATAAAGATCTTCTGAAGGGTCTCTGGGCTGGGGAACAAAGTGGACAGTAGGGGCTGCCATCTCCTTCGGAGATGGTGAGCTCCATCAGGACGCCGTGGGAAGGTGGGAAAAGTTCAGGAGAGATACCTGTTAACTTGAGTCTGGCTTAGAGAGAGTCTGGACCAGAGACACTTGAAGTAGTCCTCAGCAGTTGATGATACCAGAAGTCATTGGAATGAATGGCATTGATGATGAGAAAGGGAACAGGAAGGCTCCCTGGCAGCTCACGAAGGTGGGGGCCAGGAGATAGCATGAACAGCCCCAGGGTGGGAGGCAAGCCAGTATTTATTTCTGTAAAATACGGTGGCCATATTGTCTTCTCACATGACGCCCAAAGGAGCTCATCAACTTTTCCAAGATAGAGACGGCAGCCCCGCTGTGCACTTGGCTGCCTGGCTGGGGATTGTCCTTACCTCCTCCCTCCCCTTGCCCAGCGACCCCTAAGTCCTGTCCCCTTCATCCTGGAATCGCTCTTCGTGGTCTCAGAAACCCAGAAAAGAGAATTCTAAGGAAGTGGCAGGAAATCAGAGCAGGCTGAGGGCTGAGCCTCAGAGCAGCACCCACCAACAGAATAGATGGAAAAGACACACACATCACTTACAATTCTCTACTAAAGGCCGGGCGCGGTGGCTCAAGCCTGTAGTCCCAGCACTCTGGGAGGCTGAGGCGGGAGGATCACTTGAACTCAGAAGTTCAAGACCACCTTGGACAACATAGTGAAGCACTATCTATCTATCTATCTATCTATATTTTTTTGAGATGGAGTCTCCTCTGTCACCCGGCTGGAGTGTGTGGTACGATGTCGGTTCACTGCAACCTCCACCTCCCGGGTTCAAGCGATTCTCCTGCCTCTGCCTCCCAAGTAGCAGGGATTACAGGCATGCACCACCATGCCCAGCTAATTTTTTTTTTTTTTTTTTTTTTTAATTTTTAGTAGAGATGGGGTTTCACCATGATGGCTGGTTGGTTTTGAACTCCTGATCTCAAGTGATTCGCCCACCTCGGCTTCCCAAAGTGCTAGGATTACAGGCCTGAGCTACCGCGCCCGGCCTGTGAAACACCATCTCTACAAAAAATTTACAAATGGCTGGGCACGGGGGCTCACACCTGTAATCCCAGCACACTGGGAGGCTGAGACAGGCAGATCGCCTGAGGTCAGGAATTCAAGACCAGGCTGGCCAGCATGGTGAAACCCCATCTCTACTAAAAATACAAAACACCAGCGTGGTGTGGCAGGCGCCTGTAATCCCAACTACCGTGAAGCTGAGGCAGGAGAATTGCTTGAACCGGGAGGCGTGAGGCTGTGGGCAGAGATGGCGCCATTGCACTCTCCAGCCTGGGAGAGACAGAGCAAGACTTTTGGTCCCAAAAAAAAAAAAAAAAAAATCTTACTAGGCATATTTTTAAGGTACAGCAACAACATAGGAAAATTTAATTTTCATAGCACAGTTTTAAAAATCTGTTACATAAATTTTAATCATTTCAACATGTAATCAGCATAAAACATGATTCTGTGCTTTCACTGACAGCCTGCCTCAGCTGGGGCCCCACGTTCAGGGGCTGGCGGCTACCTCACCAGACTGTGCATCCCGAGGTGGGAGGTGGCTCAGGAGGTTGGGTCACTCATGGTCTCTGTTTCTGTCCACCCAGCCGCCTGTGGTGCCTCCTTTGATCCCGCCAAAGATCCCAGAAGGGGAGCGTGTTGACTTTATGTAAGTGTCAGAGACTCCTTCTCCCAGGCACAGTCCTCAGTCTTCAAGGGCTTTGTGCCAATCATGAAAAGGCGCCGGGCCGGGCGCAGTGGCTCACGCCTGTAATCCCAGCACTTTGGGAGGTTGAGGTCAGGAGTTCGAGACCAGCCTGGATTGGCTATGGTGAAACCCCGTCTCTACTACAAAATACAAAAATTAGCGGGGCGGTGGTGGGCGCCCAGAACCAGCTACTCGGGAGGCTGAGGCAGGAAATCACTTGAACCTGGGAGGCGTGGGAAGTTGCGGTAGAGCTGAGATTGCGCCATTTCACTGCAGCCTGGGAGAAAAGGTCCTCACTCCCACTCCTGTCTCTTTGGGCAGCTCTGTCTTTGGAAGAGCTGATTAGTGTCAAACACGAGGCATTGCTGCCACCTGCTGGACACCACCTGGGAAACGGTCCAGTTCACCGTCTTGCATGGGGAGGCGCGGGAGGCTGCTGCCCCTCTCCAGGGTCTCCCCAGGACGGCTCCCGTGTGTCCTGCAGGACATCCACCGCAAGCGCATGGAGAAAGACTGGCTGGAGCTGCAGACCCTCATCGACGTGCATTTTGGAGGAAGAAGGAGGAAGAGGAGCTGATTGCCTTGAAAGAGCCGGGTGATTGTGAGCAGAGTCCGGGTGCCCCCAGCCTTCCTCTCCACGGATCCCTTGCATCTCGGGAGATGCGGATAATGGTTTTCCTTCAGTACAGAGCTGGGAGCCTGAGGCTTTCGGAATTCACCCAAGCCGGTGGCCACACTCCAGCTCGTTTATCTCCACGCTCGCCTACCTAGGGAGGATGACTGGGGTACGTCCACCCTTTATTCTTCTCCCTACTCCCAGGAGCGGCGCCGGTCGGAGAGAGCCGAGCAACAGCGCTTCAGAACTGAGAAGGAACGCGAACGTCAGGCTAAGCTGGCGGTGGGGTGCCCCCCTGCTCTCGGAGTCCAAATGTTACTTCTTCAAAGTCAGATGCCCATTTTGTTGTTGGCATATTATTATTACTATTATTATTTGAAACTGAGCTTCAGCTGCCCCAGGGTGGGAGTGCAGGTGTGATCTCAGCTCACTTCAACCTTCACCTCCCAGGTTCAAGCAATTCTCCTGCCTCATTCTCCCGAGTAGCTGGGACTACAGGTGCTCCCCATCAGGCCCAGCTAATTTTTGTATTTTTAGTAGAGACAGGGTTTCACCATGTTGGCCAGGATGGTCTGATCTCCTGGCCTCGTGATCCCACCTGCTTCAGCCTTCCGTAAGGCTGGGATTACAGGCGTGAGCCACTGTGCCCGGCCTAGTATTATTATTATTATTATTATTATTTTTTTTTTTTTTTAGAGACAGTTTCACTGTCATCACCCAGGCCGGAGTGCAATGGCGTGATCTCAACTCACTGCAACCTCCGCCTCCCAGGTTCAAGCAATTTCTTGCCTCTAACCTCCTGAGTAGCTGGGATTATAGGCTCAAGGCCACCACACCTGGCTAATTTTTGTATTTTTAGTAGAGACGGGGTTTCTCCCATGTTGGTAAGGCTGGTTCGAACTCCCGACCTCAGGTGATCCCGCCCTGCCTCCCACCTCCCAAAGTGCTGGGATTACAGGCATGAGACACCACACCCGGCCTATTATTATTATTTATTTATTTATTTGGAGGCAGGATCTTGCTTTGTCACCCAGGCTGAAGTGCAGTGGCGTGATCCTAGCTCACTACAACTAGGACCTCCCGGGCTCAAACGATTTTCCCACCTCAGCCTCCAGAATCGCCACTCTGCCCGGGTAGGTTTTTTTTAATTATTATTTTAATTTTTTGTAGACACAGCATTTTGCCATGTTGTCCAGGCTGGTTTTCAACTCCTAAGCTCAAGCAATCCACCTGCCGTGGCTTCCCAAAGTGCTGGGATTACAGGCATAAGCCACCATGCCCAGCCTGGATTCTCCATTTTCTTCTTTTACCTAGAGTCTTTCTATGTTGCCCACGTTGTTCCCAAACTCCTGGGCTCACATGATCCTCCTGCCTCAGCCTCCCAGGTAGCTGAGATTACAGGCACAAGCCACCTGCCCGTCACCCAGCTGAGAAGGGGATTTTGCAGATGTGATTAAGTTAAGGGTCTTTTTATTTTTTATGGTTTTTTTGGGAGGGTGGTGGGCCCGGCCCCCAGGCTAGGGTGCAGTGGCCGGATCTCAGCTCACTGCAAGCTCCGCCTCCCGGGTTCACGCCATTCTCCTGCCTCAGCCTCCCAAGTAGGTAGCTGGGACTACAGGCGCCCGCCACCTCGCCCGGCTAGTTTTTTGCACTTTTTAGTAGAGACGGGGTTTCACCGTGTTAGCCAGGATGGTCTCGATCTCCTGACCTCGTGATCCGCCCGTCTCGGCCTCCCAAAGTGCTGGGATTACAGGCTTGAGCCACCGCGCCCGGCCTAAGTTAAGGGTCTTGAGATGGGACGGTTGTCCTGGAATATTTGTGGGGAGGGGCAAGATCATCACAAGGGTCCTTATAAGAGGAAGGCCAGAGGGTCATACTGAGAGATTTGAAGATGCTACATGGCTGCCTCTGAAGATGGAGGTAGGTCCATGGGTCCAGACGTGCAGGCAGCAGCTGGAAAAGGGAAGGGAATGAATTCTCCCCTAGAACCTCCAGAGAAAATTGGTTCTTGATTTCAGCCCAGTGGGACCAATTTCAGATGTCTGATCCGCAGAACTGTAAGATAACAAGCTTGCACTGTTTTTCTGCCACTAAGTTTGCAAATTATAGCAGTGATAGGAAACTAAGGTTGGGCACAGTGGCTCACACCTGTAATCCTAGCGCTTTGGAAGACAAGTGGATCACTTGAGGCCAGTAGTTCGCGACCAGCCTAGACAACATGGTGAAACCCTGTCTCTACTAAAAATACAAAAATTAGCTGGTCATGGTGGCACATGTCTATAATCCCAGTTACTTGGGAGACTGAGGCAGGAGAATCACTTGAACCCAGGAGGTGGGGTTTGCAGTGAGCAGCTCAGAGATTGCACCACTGCACTCCAGCCTGAGTGAAAAAGGGAAACTCCATCTCAAAAAAAGAAAGGAAACTAATTCAGGTACGGAGTACTGGGTGTACAAAAAGCCTCATGTCCACCATAAGGAGAGGGGGCTCAGCCTGGACAAGCCACTATTTCTGGAACATGCAATGAAGAGTTTCTCAAATGTTGTAATTCCTTTGCTAAATATTCTAGAACCCCTTCCTCAGGCTCGAAGCCATCAGCCTCTTTAATCTCCCCAGTCCTTGGCCTTATCACCAGTTACCTTCCTTGACCCCCTTAAAACAGACATTCTCATCTCCTGAGACTAAGGGCAACTGTGGCCCAGACTGGCTGAGCATCTGGAGTGAGGTCACATAGCAAAGTTCACTATTGGCTGTTTCAGGTTGGAGGCATGCAGAAAAAGCAGGCATTTCTCCTTCTCCTTCTCCTTCATCTTCATTTCCATTTTTTTCTGGGGAGATATTAAGACCCAGGAAGGGGGCCGGGCATGGTGGCTCACGTTTGCAATCCCAGCACTCTGGGAGGCTGAGGTGTGCAGATCATTTGAGGTCAGGAGTTTGAGACCGGCCTGGCCAACATGGTGAAACCCAATCTCTACTAAAAAGACAAAAATTAGCGGGACGTGTTGGTGTGTGCCTGTAATCCCAGCTTCTCGGGAGGCTGAGGCAGGAGAATCACTTGAACCTGGGAGGCAGAGGTTGCAGTGAGCTGAGATCCAGCCACTGCACTCCAGCCTGGGCGACAGAACGAGACTCCGTCTCAAAAAAAAAAAAAAAAACCCAGAGAGGGGAAGGAACTTACAGGCGATCACAGGGGGAGACCTGGCCCCCGGCAGGAGACACCTGTGTCTCTGCTGGTTCTGATGTCCCCCGGCCTGCTGATCTCTGTGCTCCAGCTCCACTCAGCACAGAACTGAGCCCCCGTCCTTCCTGTCCCAGGGCCCTCCTCCCTCAGGCCTAGAGGGGCAGCCATGAGGTTAACCCCTTCCTTCCCACAGGAGGAGAAGATGAGGAAGGAAGAGGAAGAGGCCAAGAAGCGGGCAGAGGATGATGCCAAGAAAAAGAAGGTGCTGTCCAACATGGGGGCCCATTTCGGCGGCTACCTGGTCAAGGTGAGTCAGCCTGCAGGAGCCTGAGGTCTAAGTTCTGAGGCAGGAAAGGCTTAGGGCCAGACAGACCTCTGGTTCCTAATGGAGGAGGGTCTGGGGCCTGGACTCCTGGGTGTGAGGGAGGAGGGGCTGGGTCCTGGATTCCTGGGTCTGAGGGAGGAGGGGCTGGACCTGGACTCTTGGATCTGAGGGAGGAGGGGCTGGGGACCTGGACTCCTGGGTCTGAGGGAGGAGGCGCTGGGGGCCTGGACTCCTGGGTCTGAGGGAGGAGGGGCTGGGGGCCGGAGGCGCTGGGGGGCCTGGACCTGGGTCTGAGGGAGGAGGGGCTGGGACCTGACCCTGGGTCTGAGGGAGGAGGGGCTGGGGACCTGGACTCTGGGTCTGAGGGAGAGGTGCTGGACCTGGACCCTGGGTCTGAGGAGGAGGGGTTGGGGGCCTGGACCCCTGGGTCTGAGGAGGGGGTTGGGGGCATTGACCCCTGGGTCTGAGGGAGGAGGGGCTGGGGCCTGACCCTGGGTCTGAGGGAGGAGGGGCTGGGGGCCTGGACTCCTGGGTCTGAGGGAGGAGGGGGCTGGGGGCCTGGACTCCTGGGTCTGAGGGAGGAGGGCAGGCCTGACTCCGGGTCTGAGGGAGGAGGGGCTGGGGGCCTGGACCCCTGGGTCTGAGGGAGGAGGGGGCTGGGGTTCTGACTCCTGGGTCTGAGGGAAAAGGGGCTGGGCCTGGACTCCTGAGTCTGAAGAAGGAGGGGCTGGGGCCTGGACTCCTGGGTCTGAGGGAGGAGGGGCTGGGGGTCTGGACTCCTGGGTCTGAGGGAAAAGGGGCTGGGCCTGGACTCCTGAGTCTGAAGGGAGGAGGGGCTGGGGGCCTGACTCCGAGCGTCTTGAGGGAGGAGGGGCTGGGGACCTGGACTCCTGGGTCTGAGGGAGGAGGGGCTGGGGACCTGGATTCTGGGTCTGAGGGAGGAGGGGCTGGACCTGGACCCCTGGGTCTGAGGGAGGAGGGGCTGGGGGCCTGGACCCCTGGGTCTGAGGGAGGAGGGGCTGGGGGCCTGGACCCCTGGGTCTGAGGGAGGAGGGGCTGGGGGCCTGGACCCCTGGGTCTGAGGGAGGAGGGGCTGGGGGTCTGGACTCCTGGGTCTGAGGGAAAAGGGGCTGGGCCTGGACTCCTGAGTCTGAAGGAGGAGGGGCTGGGGGCCTGGACTCCTGGGTCTGAGGGAGGAAGGGCTGGGTCCTAGAATCCTGGGTCTGAAGGAGGAGGGGCTGGACCTGGACTCCTGGGTCTGAGGGAGGAGGGCCTGGACCTGGACTCCTGGGTCTGAGGGAGGAGGGCCTGGGGGCCAGACTTCTGGTTCCTAATGGGAGAGGGTCTGGGGCTTGAATTCAGTCTGAGAGGAGGGGCTATGCGTCTGAGGGAGGAGGGAGTGGGCCTAGACTCCTGGGTGTGAAGGAGAAGGGCCTGGGGTGCAAACCTGTAGGTTCCAATATGGACGTGGTCTGTGGGATCTGACCTGTGGGTCCCGACATGGGGGTGGTCTGTGGGATGTGACCCCCAGTTTACCGTACCCCTCCCCAACCCGCAGGCAGAACAGAAGCGTGGTAAGCGGCAGACAGGGCGGGAGATGAAGCTGCGCATCCTGTCTGAGCGCAAGAAGCCTCTGGACATCGACTACATGGGGGAGGAACAGCTCCGGTAGGTGCTGTGGGGGGCTCGGGGCTGCAGGGATCTGGGTGTGAGACAGGGGATAAAGGAGCTCACACCCACTCACACCCACATCTGGGTGGGCAGAGACCCCGGGTCTCAGCTCTGGTGCTGTGTGACTTTGGGCAAGTGGCTTCCCCTCTCTGGGCCTCTGCTGCCTTCTCTGTGAAACGTGTCACTGACAGAGAACCCACTTTTCGTGGCTGCTGTGGCCTGTAGCATCTGACAGGTGTTATCGGGCTGGACAAGATGACTTCCCTCCTGCCCAGTTTAGGAGATTTTGTTAACTCTGTGATGTGCCCTGGAGCTCAGGATGGGCTGTGCCTTTCACCTAAATTCAAGCTAGGAATGCGGTGAGAGTGTTCCAGCTGCGTCCCGCGTCTCTAGAGCCAGGACCGCCTGCCTCTCATGATAAGATAAGCCGCAGGACGGCAGGCTGACGGGGGCTTGCTTCAGGAGCCCCCTGCATCTCCGTGTTCTCTGGCCTGGGCCGTGGCTCAGAAACTTCAGCCACCCCAGAGTGGCGCAGTGATCGGGTTTGCCGCTTGCACCGAAAGCCCCTGCCCGGGGCTCAGTGCCAGCTCCTTCCGCTACTTTGTGATCCTGGGCACGTTATCTGACTTCTCTGGGGCTCCCATTCCTCACTGGCAGAATAAGGATGTAATCACATAATCAACCTCACAGAGCCGTGAAAGGGCAGTGAGATAGAAATAATAATTACAGACTGGGCCTGGTGGCTCATGCCTGTAATTCCAGCACTTTGGGAGGCTGAGATGGGAGGATTGCTTGAGGCCAGGAGTTGGAGACCAGCCTAGGCAATGTAGTGAGACCCAATCCTTAAAAAAATAATTACAGCAGCAGCTTCCTATGGAGGGTTTACAACCCTGTGAGGTAGATACTATTATTATCCTTGTGTTAATAGTGAGAAGCCTGATGCACAGAGAGGTTAGGTAACCCTTCCAGGGTTGCCCAGCTAGCAAGTGGAAGAGCTGGGATTTGAACCCAGGCAGTCTGGTGCAATAGTCCATACTCTTTGCTACTGTGCTGTAATGTGGCTTGATGGTAAATGTTTAACAGCTGCTCTCCAGGGGGCAAAACGTCTAGATTTAGCACGTGCTCATTCCCATGGTGTAAATACTGCCACGTTGCTCCTTTCAAACTACTGTATGAGGACACTGAGTGTGGAGTTGGGAAAAGATGTGCACCGCAGGCTCCTGGAAGCCCTCTGCGGGGGCGGTGGGCCCTCCTTCCTGTGCACATGATGCATGTAAAGTATTGTCGGCCAGGCGCGGTGGCTCACGCCTGTAACCCCAGCACTTTGGGAGGCTGAAGTGGGCAAATCACTTGCGGTCAGGAGTTTGAGACCAGCCTGACCAATCTGATGAAATCTCATCTCTACTAAAAATACAAAAATTAGCCGGGAATGGTGGTGGGTGCATGTAATCCCAGCTACTCTGGAGGCTGAAGCAGGAGAATTGCTTGAACCTGGGAGGCGAAGGTTGCAGTGAGCTGAGATTGTGCCACTGTACTCCAGTCTGGGCGACAAGAGCAAAACTCTGTCTTAAAAAAAATAAAAAGGGCTGAGGTGGGAGGATCACTAGAGCCTGGGAGGTCGAGGCTGCAGTGAACTGTGATCATGTCACTGCACTCCAGCCTGGGTGACAAAGTGAGACCCTATAAGAAAGAAAGAAAAGGAAGGAGGGAGGAAGGAAGGCAGGCAGGAAGGAAGGCAGGAAGGAAGACAGGAAGGAAGACAGGAAGGAAGGCAGGTAGGAAGACAGGAAGGAAGGCAGGAAGGAAGGCAGGAAGGCAGGCAGGAAGGAAGGCAGGAAGGAAGGCAGGCAGGAAGGAAGGCAGGAAGGAAGTAAGGAAGGAAGGCAGGAAGGAAGTAAGGCAGGCAGGCAGGAAGGAAGGAGTAGGTTTTAGTCCAGGGCTGGTTTGGCAATTCTACAAAATCAGACACCCAGACTCCTATTTTTTTCTTCTCACTCACTACTTTTAGCCCAATAGTTCCATCCTCAAAATCACTCATAGTCCAATACAGCCGCTAGAGCTCCAGCCATCACATTTATGATCCAGGCAGCAGGCAGAAGATGTGAGAGAAGAACCAGAGTATTTTTTGGAAGCCCTTCCTGTAGGGTCCAGCCCCACAGGGTCGGTGGGATTTCTCCCCCATGTGCAGAGACAAGAGATTGTAGAAATAAAGACACAAGACAAAGAAAGAAAAGACAGCTGGGCCCGGGGGACCACTACCACCAAGACATGGAGACCGGTAGTGGCCCCGAATGCCAGGCTGTGCTGTTATTTATTGGATACAAGACAAGGGGGCAGAGTAGGGAGTGTGAGCCATCTCCAGTGATTGACGAGGTCACGTGAGTCACGTGTCCACTGCACAGGGGGCCCTCCCCTGTTTGGCAGCCGAGGAGGAGAGACAGAGAGAGAGAAAGGACACAGCCTATGCCATTATTTCTTCATATCACAGGTTTTTAGTACTTTCACTAATTTTGCTACTGCTATCTAGAAGGCAGAGCCAGGTGTACAGGATGGAACATGAAGGCGGACTAGGAGCGTGACCACTGAAGCACAGCGTCACAGGGAGACGGTTAGGCCTCCAGATAACTGCAGAGGTGGAGGAGTAGAGTCTTCTCTAAACTCCCCGGGGAAAGGGAGACTCCCTTTCCCCGGTCTGCTAAGTAGCAGGTGCTTTTCCTTGGCACTGACGCTACCGCTCGACCACGGTCTGCTTGGCAATGGGCGTCTTCCCAGACGCTGGCGTTACCGCTAGACCAAGGAGCCCTCTGGTGGCCCTGCCCGGGCATAACACAAGGCTCACACTTGTCTTCTGGTCACTTCTCACCATGTCCCTTCAGGTCCTATCTCTGTATGGCCTAGTTTTTCGTAGGTTATGATTATAGAGCGAGGATTATTATAATATTGGAATGAAGAGTAATTGCTACAAGCTAATGATTAATGATTTTCATATATAATCATATCCATGATCTATATCTAGTATAACTATGCCTATTTTATTTATTATACTGGAACGGCCCGTGCCCTCGGTCTCTTGCCTCGGCACCTCGGTGACTTGCCTCCCACACCACCCAGTGACCTAGTTTCGTCCCATTAGCCACCCCTACCTGCAAGGGAGATTGGGAAGAGCAGTTTTTCAACTCAGCCTATGGCACAAGATTCTATTTCTAGAAGAAAGGGAGAAGGGCTAACAGGTAGGCAAGCAGCCATCTCTTCCACAGTTTTATTTCCATATCTTCTAGAGAAGGAAACAGGATTCTAAAGGAAGTCACCTGACATATTCATAAACCAGAGAATGGAATGGCTGGGATTTGAACCAGAGGCTTCTAACTGCAGAGGCTGGGTTTGCTCTTTTCTTTCTGCCTTTTCTTTCCCCACTCCCCTCCTCTCCCTTCCCCTTCCCTCCTTTTCCCTCCCATCCTCTCCCCTCCCCTCCTCTCCCTTCCTCTCCCCTCCTCTCCCTTTCTCTCCCCTCCTCTCTTCTCCCCTCCCCTCTCCACTTTCCTTTCTCCTTTCTCCTTTCCTTTCCCTTCTTGCATCTTGCTCTGTTGCCCAGGCAGGAATACAGTGGTGCAATCACAGCTCACTGCAGCTTTGACCTCCCAGGTTCCTTCCGCCTCAGCCTCCCAAATAGCTGGGACCACAGGGGAATGCCACCATGCCTGACTAATTTTTTTTTTATTTTTAGCAGAGGTAGGGTCTTCTATGTTGCCCAGGCTGGTCTCGAACTCCTGGCCTCAAGTGATCTGCCCTCCTCTGCCTCCCAAAGTGCTGGGATGACAGGCGTGCGCCACCGAGCCTGGTCTCTTAACCGTGACACCCTTCTCTCCCCTTGGGAAATACGAGAGCTCCAGCTCAGATATGGAGAAAGCGGGCACAGATCGTAAAACTCTTGGCCTCTAATGTTAACAAATGGTGCCGACAATGCTGAACTCACAGTCTCGCTGTGCGGCTTTGGGTGTTCCCATAACCTCTCTGGGCCCAAGTTCCTCTCCGTCCCTGGGCCTAGGGCCTGGCCTGCCTGGCTGCCTCCATCACAGCCCTCCTGCCCCACCAGGGAGAAAGCCCAGGAGCTGTCAAACTGGATCCACCAGCTGGAGTCTGAGAAGTTCGACCTGATGGCGAAGCTGAAACAACAGAAATATGAGGTGAGACCCAGCTCCGCAGGGAGGGAGGGAGGGTAGGGCTGGGCTGGGAGGGACCAGCAAGTTCCATGCAGGGGTGGGTGGCCTGTCCCCACATCCCCACCGGCTGTCTCAGCATCTGCCTTCTGCTTCCACAGATCAACGTGCTGTACAACCGCATCAGCCATGCCCAGAAGTTGTGAGTGCGATCCTGTCTCGAGCCCTTGCTCTCGTCCCCACCCTCCTGCAGACTCTCAGGCCTCTCCTTCCTCCCTCTGTGGGCTCCATCCCCCACTGCCTCTGGGTTTCTGCCCCTTTCTCTTTGTTCTTCCTTCTCTGTCTTCCTCTCTCTACTCTCGGAATCCTGAGTCGCAGTCCCTTTGTCTTTTTCTTTTTTTCTTTTTAGTTTTTGAGAGGGAGTCTTGCTCTGTTGCCCAGGCTGGAGTGCAGTGGTGCAATCTCAGCTCACTGCAACCTCCATCTCCCGGGTTCAAGCGATTCTCCTGCCTCGGCCCCCTGAGTAGCTGGGATTACAGGCGTGCGCCACCACGCCCGTCTAATTTTTTATTTGTTTAGTAGAGATGGGGTTTCCCTGTGTTGATCAGGCTGGTCTCGAACTCCTGACCACAAGTGATCCGCCCACCTCGGCCTCCCAAAGTGCTGGGATGACGGGTGTAATCCTGAGCCACCGCGACCAGCCCCTTTTCCTATGTTCCTCTAAATCCACGGCAGGGGAGGGGAAGGCCAGTCTCATTCCCCGGAGGACACTGGGCAGTGTCGGGAGGCATTTGGCTGTCGCAACTGGAGAGGGACCACAGGCATCTAGAATGCAGAGACCCGCATGCTGCTCAGCGTCCTACAATGCCCAAGACAGGGCCCCACACAGCAAAGAATGATCTGGCCCAAATGTCTACGGTGCTGAGGTTGAGAGGGTCTTCTCTCTTTTTTTTTGAGACAGAGTCTCTCTCTGTCACCCAGGCTGGAGTGCAGCGGCACGATCTCAGCTCACTGCAACCTCTGCCTCCCTGGGTTCAAGCGATTCTCCTGCCTCAGCCTCCTCAGTAGCTGCGATTACAGGTGCACGCCACCGTGCCCGGCTAATTTTTGTATTTTTAGTAGAGACGGGGTTTCACCACGTTGGTCAGGCTGGTCTCAAACTCCTGACCTTGTGATCCGCCCACCTCGGCCTCCCAAAGTGCTGGGATTACAGGTGTGAGCCACCGCGCCCGGCCGATATGGTCTTCTCTGAATCTCTCTCTCTGTTTCTCGGCTGATGTCTTCCTTCCTCCCTCCTCTCTCTTCTCCTCTTCTCCTGTTTCCTATCTCTTTCACCCCAGCCCTTCCTGCATGTTACTACCCAGGCCCAGATCACCCAACCCTTCCTCCCCCTACCCTGGCCCCTGACTCATAAACATTCATCAGCTCCGCCATGAACACCCTGCACTCACCCCCAAATGTCAGCTCCCACATGTCAGTGAGGCCTTTGGCCACCAGCCGCTGCCCCCCAGTCGTAGAACCCAAAAGAGATGACAGCTGTTTTGCACACAGCTTCCTCTGGGCAGGGAGGGCTAATATTTTGGGGGATGGGCTTCCTGAATTGAGGGCCTGGGGCCCATTTCAGAGACTGGAGGGGCCCCTTCTTCCTGATACACCTCCTTCTTCTACAGCCGGAAGGGGGCAGGGAAGGGCCGCGTTGGAGGCCGCTGGAAGTGAGAACGCCGCCCCGGACAGTGGCCTGCTCTTACCCACCCGGGAAGCCTGGGAGTGTTAGTCCCTTCGGTAGCTTGAAATAAACGCTTCCCTCAGACACCTGCTGGGTTCTCTGATGTTATTGTTGTTGATATGCGGCTGGTCTCTCGTGGTTCATTGACTTCTTATTACCAACACGCCATTGCTTGAAAGAGTGTCATCAATAATAATCATTAGAGTATGGCAGACTGAACCTTCACTCACTGCTGGTGGGAATGGAAAATACAACAGCTTTGCAAGCAACCTGGCGGTTCCTCAACAAGTGAAAGCCTTTCCACAGGACCCAGCCGCTCCCCTCCTAGATGGATGTCCAAGAGAACCAAGAACCTTTGTCCACACAAAAGCTTGCACATGAATTTCATAGCAGCATTTTAATTTTTAATTTTTTTTTTTTGAGACGGAGTCTCGCGCTGTTGCCCAGGTTGGAGTGCAGTGGTGCGATCTCGGCTCACTGCAAGCTCCGCCTCCCGGGTTCCCGCTATTCTCCTGCCTCAGCCTCCTGAGTAGCTGGGACTACAGGTGCCCGCCACCATGCCTGGCTAATATTTTTGTATTTTTAGTAGAGACGGGGTGTTCGCCAGGATGGTCTCGATCTCCTGACCTCGTGATCCACCCGCCTCGGCCTCCCAAAGTGCTGGGATTACAGCCGTGAGCCACCGCGCCCGGCCTACCGCATTTTTCATAATAGCCAAAAGGCAGAAGCAACTCAAATGTTCATTACCTGATGAATGGATAAACATACGTTGGTTCATCCACACAGTGGAATGTTGTTTAGCCACGGAAAGGAATGAAGGGCTGACGTGGTGTGACATGCACGAACCTTGAAAACATACTAAGCGAAAGGAACCAGACATCAAAGACCACATATTATATGATTCCATTTGTATGAATTTTCTAGAATAGGCAAATCCATAGAAGCAGGAAGGAGGTTCGTGTTTTTGAGGGGCTGGGGGACGGTGGGTAGAGATGACGGCTAAAGAGAATGGCGTTTCTTTTTCGATGACGAACGTGTTCTGGAATTAGTGGTGATGGTTGCACAACCTGTAAATATACTGAAAAACTCTGAATTGTGCTTTAGATGGTACATCTTATGATATGTAAAGTATATCCAAATTAAGAAATTCAAAAGCAGGCCAAGTGAGGTGGCTCCTGCTTACAATCCCAGAACTTTGGGAGATTGAGGCAGGAGGATCTTTTTTTTTTGAGATGGAGTCTCGTTCTGTCACCCAGGTTGGAGTGCAGGAGCGCAATCTTGGCTCACTGCCAAGCTCAAGGGGGGAGGATCTCTTGAGGTCAGGAGTAGGTGACCAGCCTGGCCATCTCTAGGAAACCCTAGCTCTACTAAATTACAGGAAAAAAAGAAAAACAAAATGAGCTGGGCATAGTGGTGCCTGTTATCCCAGCTACTCAGGAGGCTGAGGCAGGAGAATCGCTTAAACTGGGGAGGTTGCAGTGAGCCGAGATCACACCACTGCCCTCCAGCCTGGGTGACAGAGCAAGACTCCATCTTTCACACAAACACACACAAAATGCAAAAGCAAATTTAAAAAGTGACACGTAAAGTTTCGTATGGGAGAATCAGCTCAGTGACAAATTAATAATTATTGTTTGCTGCTCTGCTTTTGTGACTTTCCATTCGGGATGTATATTAGTGACCATGTGGGTCTGGCCACTGGGCTCTAAATCCCAAATAACCAGACAGTTGCTATGCTTTGAATGTATGAATCCCCCCAACATTTATATGTTGAAACCTAATGAATGCAATAGTATTAAATGGGACTTGAGGAGGTGATTAGGTCATGAAGGCAGGGTCCTCACCAATGGGGTTAACGTGCTTCTAAAAGAGGCTTGAGGGAGCCCCTTGCCCCTTTGCTGGGTGAGGACACAGCAAGAAGGCACCATGTGTGAAGCACAGAGCAGACCCTCACTCCACACTGAGTCTTCCTGCGCCCTGATCTTGGTCTTCCCAGGCTACAGAACTGTGAGCAATGCATTTGTATCGTTTGTAAATTACCAGGTCTAAGGTATTCTGTTGCAGCAGCCCAAATGGACCAAGACAACAGCTGATTTCTTTCTCCTTTTTTTTGAGACGGAGTCTCACTCTGTCAGCAGGCTGGAGTGCAACGGTGCAATCTCAGCTCACTGCAAGCTCCGTCTCCCTGGTTCAAGCGATTCTCCTGCCTCAGCTTCCCGAGTACCTGGGATTACAGGCCCGTGCCACCACACCCAGCTAATTTTTTTTTTTTAATTTATTTTTTGTATTTTTAGTAGAGACGGGGTTTCACCATGTTGGCCAGGATGGTCTTGATCTCCTGACCTCGTGATCCACCCACCTCGGCCTCCCAAAGCGCTGGGATCATAGGTGTGAGCCACCGCACCCAGCCTTCTTCTTTTTTTGAGACAGGGTCTCACTCTGTCACCCAGGCTAGAGTGCAGTGGTGCAATCACAGTTCACTGCAGCCTCGACCTCCCGGGCTCAAGCAGTCCTCCCACTTCAGCCTCTCAAAATGCTGGGATTGCAGGTGTGAGCCACTCTGCCTGGCTGACAATAGTTGATTCCTTTCACATGTAAAAGTCTGAGTTGGGATGATGGCTCTGTTTTGTAAAGTTGCCTGGGTCCAAGCTCATTCTACTGTGTGGCTACCTTCCCGGGGGGGTTGCCTTTGCTCATGGGGTAAGATAGTTCCCACTCTGTGGCAGGCAGCAGACGGGGGTAAAATGGAAGGAGACATGTTTACTCCTACTCAGTCTCATTGACAGATGTTAATTACATTGTCATACCCAGTTGCAAGGGATGCTGGTGTCCCACGCGGCCGTGTGAAGAGTCCACCAAACAGGCTCTGTGTGAGCAACAAGGCTGTTTATTTCACCTGGGTGCAGGCGGGCTGAGTCCGAAAAAGGAGTCAGCAAAGGACGGTGGGATTGTCATTAGTTCTTATAGGTTTGGGATAGGCGTACAAAGCACAGTCTTCAGGGTGGGGAGAATATTACCAAGTACCTTCTCAAGGGCAGGGGAGAATATTAGAAAGGGTGGGGCAGAATATATCCTATCAGTTAGGGTAGGGCGGGAACAAATTACAATGGTGGAATGTCATCAGTTAAGGCTATTTTCACTTCTTTTGTGGATCTTCAGTTGCTTCAGGCCATCTGGATGTATATGTGCAGGTCACAGGGGACATGATGGCTTAGCTTAGGCTCAGAGGCCTGACATTCCTGTCTTCTTATATTAATAAGAAAAACAAAACAAAATAGTGGTGACGTGTTGGGGCGGCGAAAAGTTTTGGGGGTGGTATGGAGAGATAATGGGCGATGTTTCTCAGGGCTGCTTTGAGCGGGATTAGGGGCAGCTTGGGAACCTAGAGTGGGAGAGATTAAACTGAAGAAAGATCTTGGGGTGAGGGGTGATACTGTGGGGTTGTTAGAAGGAGCGTTTGCCATATAGAATGATTGGTGATGGCCTGGATGTGGTTTTGTATGAATTGAGAAACTAAACGAAAGACACAAGGTCCGAACAAGAGAAGGAGAAAAACAGGTATTAAAGGAACTAAGAATTGGGAGTACCCAGGACATCCAATTAGAAAGTGTCCAAGGGGGTTCAGTGTAATTATTTGCTTGGTTGGCGAGTTTTTGGGCTCTATCCTTGAGTTTTTTTATGTTGTCATACACCAGGCCTGATTGATTTAGGTAAAAACAACACTCTTCATTTAAAAATATACAGAGTCCTCTTTTTTTAGCAGTGAGTAAGTCGAGGCCTTGGTGATTTTAGAGGAAAGAGAAATGCAAGGCCAGCAGCTGTTTGTTAAAGAAGGATTAGAAACGGCTAGGAGAGGGTGACTGAGATTGATAGTGTGGAGGAGATAGCTGGGGAGAGGTAGAGGGTGGCATAAGAACGGGAATGAGAATAAGAGTATAAAAATAAAGAACAGGACTTCATCAGGGTGAAAGTATTGGAGGGTACCTTGCCACTGAAGACCTTCTGTCCACTTCAAGAGAGACTTAAGGGTGGTGATTTGAGGTAAAACCAGGAGCCACTAAATACCAAGAGCCTGAGAAACTGCTTGGGCGATTTGCCTAATAATGGCTGGTCTGTTATCACGCTGTATAGAGGTGGGAAGGCCAAACCGAGGAATTATGTCTGACAGAAGGGAAGAAATGACCGCGGTGGCCTTCTCAGACCCTGTGGGAAAGGCCTCTACCCATCCGGTGGAAGTGTCTACCCAGACCAAGAGGTATTTTAGTTTCCTGACTCGGGGCATGTGAGTAAAGTCAATTTGCCAGTCCTGGGCAGGGGCAAATTCCTGAGCTTGATGTGTAGGGAAGGGAGGGGGCCTGAACAGTCCTGAGGGGTAGTAGAATAGCAGATGGGACAACTAAGAAGTGATTTCCTCGAGGATAGATTTCCACAAGGGAAAGGAAATGAGAGGTTCTAAGAGATGGGCTAGCAGCTTGTAACCTACATGGAAGAGGTTATGAAATGATGACAGAATAGAATGGGCCTGTGAGGCTGGAAGGAGATATCTTCCTTGGTCTAAGAACCATTTGCCTTGTGTGGGAAGAGATTGATAGGTGGCAGTTTCAGTGGAAGAGTAGGTGGGAGTGACCCAGGAGAAGGAGAAAAACTGGCCATGAGGGACAGAAGTTGGAACACTAGCTGCTTCTTTAGCTACCTTATCAGCATAACTGTTGCCCTGAGTGATGGGATCTGATGCCTTTTGATGGCCCTTGCAGTGGATGACTCCAGCTTCCTTTGGAAGTAAAGCAGCCTTGAGAATAGTTTTTATGAAAGAGGCATTAATAATGGAGAACCCTTGTGTAGTGAGGAAACCTTTCAGCCCATAAAACAGCATGGTGGTGAGGATATGGAAGGCATATTTTCAGTCAGTATCAATATTGACACGTAGTCCTTTCGCAAGAGTGAGGGCCTGAGTTAAGGCAATGAGTTCGGCTTGCTGAGAGGTAGTGGAGCTGGGCAGAATGGTAGCCTCAATGATAGATGTGGAAGATACTATAGCATAGCCTGCTGTTGCTGGTGAGTGGCGATTAGGCCTGGTGGAACTGCCATC